GGTTTCAATGTGGTGAAGCTACCAAACAGGGGTCCTGCCTAACAGCATAAGCAGCAAGTGATAGAGTGCTGAATCAACGATCCATTTTGGTCTCCTCCTCCGGTCTCCAGCATTAAAGATTCCAACTTTGACTGATACAGTTCACTCTGTGATAGCAAGAAATTACCGAAGGCCCTGAATACTGAAAAGGTTATGGGCTCTGAAAACATTGCAGAACCTGCTGTTCCAGTATAGCTGCAACACTGACATCAACTCAACAATGTGGAAAATTGCCAAGGTATCCCCTAGACACAAAAAGCAGGACAAATCCAACCTGGCCAATTACCGCCCCATCAGTCTACTCTCGATCATCAGTAAAGTGATGGAAGGTGTCATCAACAGCGCTATCAAACAGCACCTGCTCAGCAATAACCTGCTCAGCGACTCGCAGTTTGGGTTCCGCCAGGGCCACTCAGCTCCTGATCTTGTTACAGTCTTGGCTCAAACTGAATTCCAGAGGTGAAGTGAGAGTGATGGCCTTTGACATCAAGAAGCCCCAGCAAAACTGGAATTAGTGGGTATCGGGGTCAAACTCCACTGATTTGACTTGTACCTGGCAGAAAGGACATCACTATAGATGTTCCTCAGGATAGTGTCTTAGGACTGACCGTCATCAGCTGCTTCATCAATGACCTTCCCTCCATCATAAGGTCAGAAATGGGAATGTTTGATGATGATTGCACAACGTTCAGTACCATTTGTGATGCCTCAGATACTGAAGCAATCCATGTTCAAATGCAACAAGACCTGTACGAAATCCACGTTTGGGCTGACAAGTGGCGAGTATAATTCGCACCAGTGCCAGGCAATGACCATCTCCATCTCCATCTTGAGAAGCTAACCGTCACTTCTTGACACTCAATGTCATCACCATCACTGAAACCCCCACTATCAACATCCTAGGGGTTACCATTGACCAGAAATTGAACTGGACTTGCCATTTAAATACTGTGAACAGGTCAGAGACTCAGAATTCTGCAGTAACTTCCCCCTATAACTCCCCAAAACCTGTCCACCATCATCGAGGCACAAGTCAAGAAAGTGATGGAATACTTCCCACTTGCCTGGATGAGTGCAGCTCCAACTCAAGAAGCTTGACATCATCATTTAATCTTCAGCCAGAAGTGCTGAGTGGATGATCCATCTCGTCGTCCTCCAGCATTGCAGGTACCAGTCTTCAGCCAATTCGATTTCACTCCTCGTGACATCAAAAAACAGATGGAGATACTGGAAACTGCAAAGGCTACGGGCCCTGATAACATTCCAGCAATAGTACTGAAGACTTATGCTCCAGAATGTGCTACTCCCCTAGCCAAGCTGTTCCAGTATGGTTATAACACTGGCATCTACCCACCAATGATCTGATGTAACCTCAAATCCACATTCCCACCCACTCTTGAGAACCTTTCATCCCCTTGCTTAACAGGAATCTACCTCCGCCTTAAAAAAAATTCAAGACTCTGCTTCTGCCACTTTTAAGGAAGAGTGTCACAAAAACTCATGACCCTCTTGAGAAAGAGAATTTCATCCAATCCTTGATTTAAGTAGTTGGTATCTGATAGTAAACTGGTCTCTAGTTTTAGATTCTCCTATAAGAGGTACCATCTTCTCCACATTGTCCCTCTCAGTTCCCCTCAGGATGTTATATGTTTCAGTCAAGTCATCTCTTACTCTCTAAACTTCAGTGGATACAAGCCTAGCCTGTCTGAGCTTAATACGACCAGATATTAGTTTAGCAAATTTTCTGTGAACTACCTGCAGCATATTTTCATTTGTCCTTAAATAAGGTGACCATTACTGTGCACTGCACTTCAGATGTTGTCTCACCAGTGCCCTGTTTACCTCCTTAATTTTGTACTCAATTCCCCCTCATGATAAATGATAGCATTCTGTTAGCTTTCCTAATTACTAACTCAACATTAATTTTTTTGCAATTCATGCATGTGGGCAGCCTGGATTCCTCTGCATTTCAGTGTCTCGCAGTCATCATAGAGATCATTGTTTTTTTTTAATTCTTCTTGCCAAAATGGACAATTTCACGTGTTCCCACACTATACTTGCCACATCTTTGCCCATTCACTTAACCTATCAGTATCTTCTTTAAGCTCTGTGTTCTGAGGAAGGGTCACTGGACATGAAACGTTAACTCTGATTTCTCTCCGTGGATGCTGCCAGACCTGCTGAGTTTTTTCAGTAATTTCTGTTCTTGTCTCTTCTTGAAGATCCTTGTGTCCTCTTCACAATTTGTTTTTCTCCCTGTCTTTGTGTTGTCAGCAAACTTGGCGACAATACCATCCATCTGTTCATCTAAGCCATTTGTATAAATTGTAAACAGTTGAGGTCCCAATTCTGACCCCTTGTTAGATTTCGCCATCCATTAGAACTTAGTCTCTGCTTCCTCTTTGGTCTCAGTCATTGAGCAATGAAAGAGGCCATTCAGCCCATTGTGTTCACACAGTCATCAAGCACTTACCTACTCTGCTCTCATTTTCCAGCACTTACCTTGTATCCTTGCATGCTATGGCATTTCAAGTGTTCGTGTGAATACTAATTAAGCAGTTCCTGCTTTTACCACTTTTTCTTTCAGGCAATGATTTGCACTGAGTGAAATTCTTAAATTCACACTAAACCTCCTGCCCTTTATCTTAAATCTAAGCCCTTGGTCATTGACTCCTCTACTAAAGGGAAAGGTTTCTTCCTATCAATCCTATCTAGGCATATTATAATTTTGTACACCTCATTCAAGACCCCGTCAGCCTTTTCTGCTCTAAGGAAAACAACCCCAGCCTATCTAGTCTTTTTCCATAGCTGACATTTTTGTTGTTTTCTAATTCTGTAATTTTTCAATGTCCAGGGTTTTCTGGAGTTTTGGAACCCAGATTGACCCTGCACTTTATTTCCTTTCGGAAAGACTCCCACTGTCCTGATGTAAATTTTCCTATCAGTAATTGCACTTTGGCCGGGTCCTACATTATCATATTAAAACCAGCCTCTCCCCAATGCAAAATCTTTTTTTTTATTTCCAGTCCATCCTCGTCCTTTTCCGCGACGGCTTTCAATCCTACTGAGTTCTGGTTATGATCACTGAAATTGTCTTCCACTTCTACCACTTGCCCAGCTTCAGTCTCTAACTATAGGTCCAGCATTGCCCCCTCTTTTGTAGGACTTCCAATATACTCATTTGAAAAGTTTTCCTGGATTAATTTTAAGAATTCCTTTATGACTTTCACACTTTATCCGTTTCATTTAGTAAGGGGGTGGAGGGGTGTGTGGTGCGGGTTGGGTGGTTGTGCAGATTTGAAATCCCCTAATAATTTTTACGCCTCTGAAATTTCTTCCTGACTGTATGGGGTCTGTAGTACACTCCTACAATGTTATTGCTTCTTTTTGTTTTTATGTTCTACCCATATGGACTTAATTGAATTGCATTCTTAAATATCATCCCTCCTAATTGACTCCTTGACTAGTATTGTGGCATCATCTCCTCTTTATTCCCCTTTTTTGTCTCACCTGAAGATTCTATACCCTGGAATATTCAGCTGCTAGTCCTGCCCCCTGTCGACCATGTCTCCGTGATACCAGTGAAATTATATTCTCATTTGTTAATCAGTACCCTCCAGTCATATACCATATTCACAAGATTCCTTGCATTAAAATAAATGCCATCTAACCTTGCCGAGTGGCCTTTGTCTTACCTTGACTATATAGGCAACGCCTTCTCGCTGGTTTGGCTTTACTTCTACAGTTGCCTGTGTATGACCCACTATTGTCCCAGCCCGCCAATCTTCTATCCATGTCAGCATAACACCTTCTAAACCATGAGCTTTTATTTTCTGTGATAACTATCGTGGTACCTTTTCAAATGCCTTCTGGAAATCCAAGTACAGTGATTTCACTGGTTCCCCTTTACCTAAAGCACAGGTTACCTTATCAAAGTAATCCAACAGATGGGTCAAACATGACTTCCCTTTCACAGAACCTTGTTGACTCGGCCTGAGTATATTGAAGTGGTCTATTATAATACCTTTAATAATAGTTTCTAATAGTTCTCCAATGACAAATGATAAGCTAAATGGTCTGTAGTTTCAATCTCTTTTCCTTGCTGATTAAAGGAGTTCCATTCATTATCTTCCAAAATAATGGAACCCTAAATCAAGGGAATTTTGGAAAATAAAAACCGATTCATCCACAATCCCACTAGCCCCTTCTTTTAGTACCCTAGGATGAAGTCCATCAGCTTGCAGCTCCAATAATTTACTCAGTACCATTTCCCTGGTGATTTATAATTCTTCTGTGTTCCTCACTCCTTTCCATTTCCTGAGTTGTCAGTGATTCTGGGATGTTAATTGTATCCTCTGAAGTGAAGGCTGATGCACAATACCTGATAAATCTCCTATTTTAAGATTGAGATGAGAATTTTTTTTTCTTTCTGAGTGTCATTAGTCCGTCAGATTCCCTGCCCGAGAAAGTAGTGGATATTGTGACACTGAATTAGCTCAAAGCAGAGTTAGATAGATAGATAGATTTTTGACAGACAAGGGATTCAAAGGTAATGGGGATCAGACAGAAAAGCAAGATTGAGACCACAACCAGTTCAGGCATGGCCTTATTGAATGGTGTAGCAGGGCCGAATGGTCGTCTCCTGTTCCTAAATTCCATGTTCCTGTGTCATCTAATTGTGAAACTGATCTTTGAATTTTTAACTGTTTGCTGTTCGACCTCCATCTCTGATGCGACCTTTAACGAATACACTTTTCTTGCATGCAGACTTTACGTCATTTTCTGCAAATGTTGGTGGACCTGGGCTGGGGAGTTTCCGATCGGTGTCGACTTCTACGAAGCTTGTCAATGGAAAACGTGTCACCACCAGGAAGTGAGTAACTAGAAGTGAAAACAGATTGTCACAATGGTGGCAAGTACTATTGTCAAGTCGGCGTTCTTAGCTGGGGGTTTGTTTAAAGGTGGTTCTGGTGGGGACCAGAGTGGAGATGTGTTATAAGGGAGGGGTACACAGGTGTGTTGCTTATGAAGCAGATGGAGTTCAATGTGAGCAAATATGAGCTAATCCATTTTGGACTGGAAAAGGATAGATCAGGGTACTTTCTAGATGGTATGAGGACAGCACAGTGGCTCAGTGGTTAGCACTACTGCCTCACAGTGCCAGGGAACTGGATTCCATTCCAGCCTTGGGCGACTGTGCAAACTCCACACAGACATTCTTTTTTTCCCCCCTACAGTGTGGAAACAGGCCCTTCGGCCCAACAAGTCCACACCGATCCTCGGAGCATCCCACCCAGACTCATCCCCCATAACTCACCTAAACTACACATCCCTGAACACTGTAGGCAATTTAGCGTGGCCGATCCACCATAACCTGCACGTCTTTGGACTGTGGGAGGAAACCCACGCAGGCACGGGGAGAATGTGCAAACTCCATGCAGACAGTCGCCCGCGGTTGGAATCGAACCCGGGCCCCTGGTGCTGCGAGGCAGCAATGCTAACCACTGAGCCACTGTGCCGCCCCTAAATTCTCTCTCTGTCTATGAGAGTTTCCTCCAGGTGCTCCCATTCCCTCCCACAATCCAAAGATGTGCAGGTTAGGTGGATTGGCCACAAGAAATGCAGTGTTATAGGGATAGCGCAGCAGTTTGGGTCTGGGTGGAATGCTGTTCGGAGGATCAGTATGGACTCATTGGGCCGAACGGCCTACTTTTGCACTGTGGAGATTCTACGATTCTAAATAGAATGGGCATTCGTGGAGACTTGAATGTTTAGGTGTATAATCTTTAAACAGGCAGAAACAGGTGCCGGAAATAATCAAGAAAGCTAATAGAACGCTGGGCTTTATATCTAGAGGACTAGAGGATAAGGAAGCAGATGTTTTGCTAGTGTTCTATAAAGTCCTGGTTAGAGCCCACATGGAGTACTGAGAGCAGATCTGGGCACTATTTCTTTAGGGAGGATAGATTGGCCTTGGAGGGAGTACATTGCAGGTTTACAAGAATGACATCTGGATTTAAGGGGTTCGGTAATGAGAGCTTATACAAATTAGGCCTGTTTTAAAGATAGAAACAAAGAAGCTAGGAGCAGGAGAAGGCCATTCAGCCCTTTGGCCTGCTCCAATTTTCATTATGATCATGGCTGACCATCGAGCTCAATACCCTAATCCCATTCTCCTCCTCCATATCCCTCAATTCCTTTAGCTACAAGAACTATATCTACCTCAGGAACAATCAGTTCTGAGGAAGGGTCACTGGATCCGAAACGTTAACTCTGTTTTCTCCTTCACAGGTGCTGCCAGACCTGCTGAGCTTTTCCAGCAACTTTTGTTTTTGTTCCTGATTTACAGCATCCGCAGTTCTTTCGGTTTTTATTTACTATATCTACCTCCTTCTCTAGAATTTAGAAAATTGGGAAGTGATCTGATTGAAGTCTTCAAGATATTAACAGGAAAATACAGAGTAGATAAAGATAAATTATTTCCATAGGTTGGAGATTCTAGAGCTAGGGGTATAATCTGAGAATGAGGGCCAGACCATTCAGGAGTGATGTTAGGAAGCACTTCGACACATGCATTGTTGTTAAGCAAATGTATTAAGGGATATGGGACAAAGGCAGGTGTATAGAGTTAGGTCATAGATCAGCCTTGATCTCATTGAATGGTGGAGTAGGCTCGAGGAGCTGAATGGCCCAATCCTGTCCTATGTTCCTACTGCTAACACAGTAATATAAAAACTGGACCTGTGTTATGACAGTCTAATCCCAGCTCATGTTCTCAGTTAGTATATGATCGTAGTCATTTATGGCACAGAAGGAGACCACTCAGCCCGTACTTCTGGGGAAATTGTGTTTTGCGATGAGAGGTGGTACAGCAATGAAGGATCAAAAGGCAACAATAATGCTAGGAGAGAAAGTTATCCTCCTCGGCAAAACCTCTGGCACCCCCTCCCCCGGGAGGGCATTCAATGTCTTTGTTCATTGCTGATCGAGTAATACAGTCATACAGCATGGAAATAGACCCTTCAGTCCAACTAGTCCCACTTACCTGTGTTTGGCCCTTATCCATCCAAAACTTTCCTATGCATGTCTTATGCAGTTGTCTTTTAAATCTGCATCCACCACTTCCTCTAGATGTTTATTCCACATGCGAGCCACTCTATTAAAAAAAAAGTTGCCCCTCGGATCATTTTAAAAACTTTCTCCTCTCATCTTAAAAATATGCCCTATAATTTTGAACTCCCCCACCCTCAGGAAGAGACCTTCACTATTCCTCTCAAGGCAACCAGACTGTTAGTTTAAGAGAGTAGGGGGACCTTTAACTCTGTATCTAACCCCGTGCTGTCCCTGCCCTGGGAGTGTTTCATGGAGGGGGACAGTGTAGAAGGAGCTGTACCTGTATCTAACCCCGTGCTGTCCCTGTCCTGGGGGTGTTTGATGGGGGCGGGGGGAACGGAAACAGTGTAGAAGGAGCTGTACCCTGTATCTAACCCCGTGCTGTCCCTGTCCTGGGAGTGTTTGATGCGGGGGACAGTGTAGAGAGGGCCTTACTCTGTATCTGACCCCATGCTGTCTCTGTGCTGGGAGTGTTTGATGGGGGACAGTGTAGAGAGAGCTTTACTCTGTATCTGACCCCATGCTGTCCCTGTCCTGGGAGTGTTTGATGGGGGGGACAGTGTAGAAGGAGCTGTACTCTGTGTATCTAAACCCCAATTCACCAGTGTTTTCATTGTCTTGCCCTTCTCAAACTATAACCTGTCTGTTTTTGCCCCCCCAGGATTGTGGAGAATGGTGAAGAGAGGGTGGAAATTGAGGAAGATGGGCAGCTGAAGTCAGTGCGAGTAAACGGTAAGCGAGATAGGAGGTCCAGGAGAGACTAGGCCGTGCACAGTGAATCGACGACACCAGCAGGGTGTCCTGGGGAGCTACTAGAGAAGAGAGCAGTGGGAAGCAAATGGCAGCGAGACAGGAAGGATAGAACGCATCAGCGATTAGAAACTTTGACTAGAGGCAATCAGCACTACTTGGAAGAATCCAGAATAAATATATTGTAGAAATAAAGAAGATCTTCCCTTGCCCATCCCATTCATGGCCAGGTTTTGTTTATTCTTGATACAAACAGCTAGATTTGGAACAAGTGTACCGGTATGGCTCCATTTTGATTAAACTTGTTGATCAGACTGGTTGAAGGAGGTGCTTGCTGACCACACACAGTGACCTAAAGTAGGCTATACATGGGTGGTGGTCGAGGGGTCAAGCAGGGACCTGATCTCAGGCCTGCAGATAAACCAGACCATGACGATCAAACAGTGTCAGGAAGGAGTCACACGACCAGACAGTTTTGTAGAAGTACTCAAAGAAACATAAAATGATGCAGGAACAAAAGTGCACTATTCAACCTGTGTTCAAAAGTGCTATCTGGCTTGTATTGCTCCCTCCACTTTTTTTAATTTGCTCGTGGGATGTGGGTGTCTCTGGTAATTCACTGCAGTTGAGAAAGTGATAGGGAGCCGTCGCCTTCAACCGTCCGGCCAAGATAAGGCCAGACATGGGGATGTTCACCAATGATTACACAATGTTCAGCACCATTTGCGACTCCTCACATACTGAAGCAGTCCATGTTCAAATGCAGCAAGATCTGGACAAAATCCTGGCTTGGTCTGAAAAGTGGCAAGTGACATTCACCTCACATATGTGCCAGGCAATGACCATTTCACCAAGAGAGAATCTAACCCTTGATGTCAAATGGTGTTAATGTCCCTGAATGAATCCCCTGCTATCAGCATCTTGGGGGTTACCATTGACCAGAAACTCAACTAGACTCACCACATTAACACAGTGGCTCCAAGAGCAGGCCAGAAGCTAGGAATACTGCAGCGAGTAACTCACCTCCTGCCTCCCCAAAGCCTGTCCACCATCTACAAGGCACAAGTCAGGAGTGTGATGGAATACTCCCCACTTGCCTGGATGGGTGCAGCTCCAGCAACACTCAGGAAGCTTGACACTAGCTAGGACAGAGCGGCCGGCTTGATTGGCGCCACATTCACAAACATCCACTCCTTCCCCCACTGACGCTCAGTAGCAGCAGTGTGTACTGTCTACAAGATGCACTACAGAAATTCACCAAAGCTCCTTAGACAGCACCTTCCAAACCTGCAACCTCTCCCGCTTAGAAGGAAGTACAAGAGCAGTGAATACATGGGAGCGAGTTCCCCTCCATGCCACTCACCGTCCTGACTTGGCAATATATTGCTGTTGTCTGTGTCACTGGGTCAAAATCTTGGAACTTCCTTCATCACAGCACTGTAGATCTACCTACAACACACAGACCCCCATGGTTGAAGGAGGCAGCTCACCACCCTGTTAGGGCTGAACAATAAATACTGGCCTATCCAGCAAAGCCTGAATCCAGTTTAAAAAGTTTTTAAAAACCTGCAGTCCACGTGGTGTGGTGAATGCACAGAGCTGTAACGGAGTGCATTTTAGGATTTTGCTTCTGTGATAATACTATATAGTTCCCAGTCAGGACAGCGTGTGGCTTGGAGGGAATTCTCAGATAGTGGTATTCCCATGCATTTACAGACCTTGCCCTTCTGGGCTGTTGAGCTGGCAGGTTTGAAATCTCCTGTCAAGTGACAGGAGTTGCTCCAGTGTGATGTTTAGGTGGTGCACACAATTGCCACTGTGTAGCTGTGGTGGTCAGGGCGCTAATCAAGAGGGCTCCTTTGTCCTGGATGGTGTTTGGCTTTTTGAATGTCACTAGAACTGCACTCATCCTAGCAAGTGGATCCTAACTTCTACATTGTAGAATGTAGACAGAATTTGGATAGTGTGGAGGCGAGTTACGCACAGCAGAATTCCCAGCCTTTGACCTGCTTTTGTGTCACAGTGTTTATGTGGCTTGTGCGGTTAAAGTTTATGACTACAGAAGAAATAGGAGCAGGAGTAGGCCATCTGGGCCCATTGAGCCTGCTGCACCATTCAATAAGATCATGGCTGATGTTTTCATGGACTCAGCTTCACTTACCAACCTGCTCAGCATGACCCTTAATTCTTTACTGTTCAAAGATCTGTCTAGCTTTGCCTAAAAAAAAATTCAACGAGGCAGCCTCAATTGCTTCACCAGGCAGGGAATTCTACAGACTCATCAGTGATTTCCCTCAGGATGTTGATGGTGGTGGATTTAACAACAATGTTGTTGGATACTTAAGAGTGATGGTTCGATTGTTGTCACTGAATATGGTCATTGTCCAGCAACTGTGGCAGAAATTATCCGCCCGACCCTAAGTATTGCCCATATCTTGCTGCCTGTCATCAAACTGCATCTGTTCCTGAGGAGGGAATGTGAACATTGTACAATCATCGGCGAACATCCCTTCTGTAACCTTATGATGGAGGGAAGGTCATTGATGAAGCAGATGAAAATGATTGGGCCTTGGATACTGCCCTGAGGAACTCCTGCAGAGATGGCCTGGCACTCATTCCTTCTAAATAATACCATGGAATTTTTCTATGTTCATTTGGGAGGTCCAGCAGGGCATCAGTATAACATTTCATCTGAAGATTGGAGCTTCCAGCAGTATCATAAAACCCAACTTGTTCACTAACTTACATTAATGAACGAAACCTACTGATCTGTCCTGGTACGTGCCTATATGTAACTCCAGTTCCTTACTGAGTTCACTGACTCTTTTTGAAGTGACTCCGTTTGAAGTGGCTTAGAACGTTGTAGCAAACTGCCGCAAAAACAAAGAAACAAAACCAGTCAAATCCCTTGACTGTATACTACACATCGAGTCAGGAAGCAATATAAAAGACACACCCAGTGGAGTTCACTTTATACAAAATTATCTTTCTTTACATCTGGAACCCAATACCGGTGTGTAGAGGGCCATCACAAAATATAACCTGCAGAAGCAATATAATCATAACGACAGAATTATGCCAGTGGGCCATCATTGTTGATTCCTCCAACAACATCACTAGGTATGTCTTGCCTGATAGGTGTGCAAAGGTACCAAGAGATAGAAGTACACAGAAAGGAGTGAGAAATGAATGAAGCTCAGGATTCCAAAGCAAGTGTCTAGAATTTGATTAAAGAATGGGTAGGCAATGGCCTAGTGGTATTATTGCTGGACTGTCAATCCAGAGACCTGGATGATGTTCTTGGGAGCCATGTTCAAATCCTGTCACAGCAGCTGGAGAAATTTGAATTCAAAAAAAAAAATCTTGAATTAAGAATCTAATGATGACTGTGAATCCAGTGTCGATTGTTGGAAAAACCCATCTGGTTCACTAATGTCCTTTAGGGAAGGAAACTGCCATCCTTACCTGGTCTGGCCTACATGTGACTCCAGACCCACAGCAATGTGGTTGACTCTTAACTGCCCTCTGGGCAATTAGGGATGGGCAATAAATGCTGCCTAACCAGCGACACCCTCATCCCGTGAATGAATAAAGAAAAAAGAAATGAAACTTTTGAGTGAGGTTGTATCATGTCCCAAGTAAGTGTTACAAAGTTCCAGCTCTGCAGTCATGTTTCCTCTGACTGTCTGGAAGATAATCTCAACAAGGGACCCTTGATGAAGGAAAACAATGAGTGTATGGTAATGCTTCCTCACACTTGTCACAAACATACACCCATTAAGAGGGGGCTTCTACCTAAATTTTGAGCCCTCCACCCTGAATGTTGCAGATATTCATCCGTCCTGCATACCAGATCTCATTGTTACCACCATTGAGGGCCGTCCCTTTCACTATTCAGTCACAAACGTTGGAAATCCCTGCCCATTTCTCTGCCTCACACTTCTTAAAACTTGTGTCTTCAGTCAAACTTTTGATCACTTGTCCAAATTTTGTGGTTTGATATTGAATGCTGTCTAGTTTGTAAAACAGCATAAGAAATAGAAGCAGAATTGGGCCATACAGCCCCTCAAGCCTCTTCTATCGTTACTTCAGGTCACAGCTCCAATTCTACGTCGACTTCACTTTCCTACCTGATCCCTGTATCTCTTTATCATCTCTCATGCCTCCAATGTATTTAAGAACTGAGCATCCACAGCTCCCTGGGGTGAAGAATTCTAAAGATTCACAATCCTCTGAGGGGAGAAACAATTTCCTCCTCATTGGTCCTAACTAGCTGACTCCTTATCCTTAGATTTCAGCGTTTGGAACTTCACTCGCCAATGAAACAGCCTGTCAACATCTACCCCTATCAAACCTTCTCAGAATTTTGCATGTTTCAATTAGATCAACTCTCTCTCTTCTGCATTATGGAGGTTATAGAACAATGCTGTTCCATTTCTACCTGTGGGATCTCAGGAATTAATCTTGTGAACTTTCTTTGTACTCCCTTTTAGGGCAAACACATCCTTCTTTGGGAAATGGAATGACCGATTACTCCAGATATGGTCTCGCCAAAGCCCCACATAATTGCAGCTAGACTGCTACTTCAATCCATTTCAGTAAAGGCTAACAAATCTTGCTTTCCCAATTGTTCAGTAACAACAAAATAAACTGTTGGTCTTCATTGCAAAAGGATTCAAGTACAGGAGTAAATGTGGGACAAAAACAGAAGTTGCTGGAAAAGCTCAGCAGGTCTGGCAGCATCTGTGAAGAAAAATCGGAGTTAAAATTTCAGGTCCCGTGACCCTTCCTCAGAACCTGAAGCATTTACTCTGATTTTTCTTCACAGATGCTGCCAGACCTGCTGAGCTTTTCCAGCAACTTCTGTTTTTGTTCCACATTTACTGCATCCGCAGTTCTTTCTGTTTTTACGTACAATGTACAGTTTGTTTATTTATTATCAGAGTAAAGATGTCCTGCTGCAATTATACAGAACCTTGATGAGATTGTACCTCATGGGGAGGTGATGGCCTAGGGGTATTACCACTGGATTCTTAATCCTGAGACCCAGGTAATATTCTGGGGACCTGGGTTCGAATTCCACCATCTGTCATGGTAGGATTTAAATTCAATAAATATCTGGAATTAAGAATCTAATGATGACGGTGAATCCATTGTCAATTGTTGGAAAAAAATCATCTGGTTCACTAATGTCCTTCAGGGAAGGAAGCTGCCATCCTTACCTTGTCTGGCCTACATGCGACTCCAGACCCACAGCAATGTTGTTGACTAAGGTTTTGGAGTAGATCTGTAGCTCGGGTTGTGGGTGTTGAGGTTGATTGGCTCGCCGAGCTGGTTTGTTGTTCCGCAGACGTTTCGTTACCGTGCTTGGTAACATCCTCAGTGCAGCCTCTGATGAAGCGTCGGTGTGTTTTCCCGCCTGGTTTTTAAACTCTGGGGTCCGTTGCAAGGGATGGCCTCACTTCGGGGTTTCCTCCATAGTGGACTGTATGTGGGGTGAGTTCAATGTGTTTATTAATAGCCTGCTTCGTGGAGTGCCATGCTTCCAGGAATTCTCGTGCTTGTCTCTGCCTAGCCTGTCCCAGGATCTTGGTGTTGTCCCAGTCGAAGTCATGGTTCTCCTTGTCCATGTGGATTGAGATGAGTTGAGTATTGGTCGTGTCTTTTTGTAGCCAGTTGGTGTTCATGTACTCTGGTTGTTAGTTTCTTGTTGACTCTTAACTGCCCTCTGGGCAATTAGGGATGGGCAGTGAATGCTGCCTAGCCAGCAATGCCGTCATCCTGTGAATGAGTTTAATAAAACCTGGAGTATTACCAGGATGGAAGGATATACTTGTCATGAGGGGAATGAAGGTTAACCAAACTGATCCCTGGGATAGTGAAGTGATCCTATGAGGAGAGATTGAGGAGACTGCGCATGTGTTCTCTACACTCTAGAAGAATAAGCTGTCATCTCATTCAAGCAAGCAATATTCTTACTGGGCTCAACAAGATAGATACAAGAGGCATGTTTTGCTGGGTGGCGAGAGTCTAGAATCAGGGGACACAGGGTCACAATAAAAGGCAAACCATTTAGGACTGAGTTGAGCAATTTGTCCACTTGGAGTGGTGGATCTTTGGAATGTTCTACCCCAGGGAGCTTTGGAGACTCTATCAGTTGGAATGTTCAAGATAGAGAGCAATAAATTTCTGAATATTAGAGATATTAAGGGATATAGTGTGGGCAATTTGCATTGAGGTAGAACATGGTCTAGTTGAAGGCAGAGCGGCTGGATGGACTGAATGGCCTGCTCATATTTCCTATGATCTTCAGTGCTTGCAACATGTGCTGAATCTTACTGGTACATTTTTATTATGTTAAAGGTGCTGTATTCATTCAAATTACTGGTTCACTTGTATAAACATCTTTTTTAGGACAATGTTCAAATTTGAGTCAAAATGACAGCATCCTACTCTCTCTGCTCCACTCGTAGTTTTACAGGGAATGAGCCATTTCAGTATAGTTGTTGCCTGGAGAATTCACCACAGCACCCCATGTCCTCAGCACCATCAAAGGAACACAAGATGACAGTCTCAAGAAAGTTGACTGAAATGGGACATTGGTTTGGAGGTTGGGGGTCAAGGTCCATGCTCTGGCCAAAATAAAGTGGGTATGTTGGTAGACAGTGGGACAAGAGCATCATTTTTTTGGTAAGCTGGCGCACACAGATGAGAATGAATCACAGAATGATACCAGCCAGAAGGAGGCCTTTTGGCCCATCACACCTGTGCTGGCTGCTTGAAAGAGCTACCTGATTACTCCCACACACTCCCTGCTACTTTCCCATAAACCAGAAAACTCCATTGCAGATACCTACAATTAATGTCGGGATTTATTGTTGAACTTGAATCTGTTGCGCTCCGTAGCGTGACATTCCAGATCATAGCATGGTCAATTAGGGATGGGCAATATTGCTGGCCCAGCTAGCAATGTCTGTATTCCATGAATCAATTCAAAACCATGTTGGTTGAGTGGACAAACAGGTGGCAGATGAAGTTCAATGCAGAGAAATGTGAGGTGACGCATTTTGGTAGAAAAAATATGGTAAGTATAAATCAAAGGGCCTTACGCTAAAGACTGTGCAGAAGCAGAGAGGTCTAGGTATATTTGTGCATAAAGATGGCAGAATAAGTGAAGGCAGTTGTTAATAAAGCATGAAGTATCTGGGCTTTGGTCGTAGGACATAGAATGCAAGAGCAAGGATGTTTTGCTGAACTTGTGTAAGAAACTATTTACAGCTCAGCTGGAGTACTGTTCTGGACACCACACTTCAGGAAGGATGTGAAGGCAATAGAAAAAATGCAAAAGAGGTTTACGAGAATGATTCCAGAATAGGAATTCAGTTATGAAGCTAGATTGAAGATGTTAGTTAGAACTGTTTCACTTGGAAAGTTATTATTGAATTTGTTTCCATTGTCCTCTCTGGCCTTACATTCCAGACTATAACATTGTAAAGAATTTAAGTTCACTCTCTAATTATTTTTCCATTGGATATTGGTGAGTTGGGGAGTGGGCAGATATGTAGCAGATGGAGTTCAGCGTGGAGAAGTGTAAGGTGATGTATGGACAGATAGTATAAGAAAGTGCTTTGTGCCATTTTGATCTCATTTAAGGAAGGAGCTGAATACATTAAAGGCAGTTCAGAGCAGGTTTACCAGACTAATACTCGAAATGAGTGGGTTGTACTATGACGATAGCTTGGACAAATGAGTTTGTTTAGAAGGTTGAAGTGTGTAAGGTTCTTAATGGTCTTGGCACGATTTTTTTTCTACCAAAATGCATCACCTCAAACTTCTGTGCATTGAATTTCATTTGCCACCTGCCTGTCCATTCCTCCAAAGTGGTTTTTGAACTGATTCATGGAAGATGGACATTGCTAGCTCGGTCAGCAATATTGCCCCATCCCTAACTGACTGTGAGAAGGTGGTGGTGTGTCCCCAGTAGTAAAAGAATTAGAATAAAGATAAATCCTTTATAATCAGCGACTGCTGTGATCTGGAATGTACTGCCACAGAGGGCGTTGGATGCAAGTTCAACAATAAATTCCATGTTTCCTTACATGGATGAGCCCAGAATGAGAGGACATTTTTTAAAATTAGGACTTACTCTTTCAGGACAGAAATGAGAAACTTTTCTGTGAATGTTGTGTGACTCTGAAGTTCTCCTGCTCAGAGGGTAGTGAAACCCTCTTTTATTAATCATTTAATATTTTTAAGAGAGAGGTGAATAGTTCTTGTTAAGCAAGGGACTTGAGAGTTATCAGGGTGGAAGGAACTGTGATACAAATAGATCAGTCATGATCTTATTGAACGGCAGAACAAGTTTGAGGGGCCAAGAGGTCTAATTCTGTTTCTATATCATATGCTCATTTTTGGGACATGTTTTGATGTTTTCAAAACTGTAAGATGTCTGGACAGGTTAGTCAGGGGGAAATTGTTCCTGCTTATGAGCGGACTGAAAGCTAAAGGACGCAGATTTAAAAAGTTTCGCAAAAGAAGTAAATGCGAGGTGAAAAAAAGCTTTTTCACATGAATTTGGATTACGCTGCCTGAAAGTGTAGTGGAGGTGGGTTCGATTGAGGCGTTCAAAAGGGTGTTAAGTGATTCTTTATAAGGTGCAGGAAGGGGAATGTCGCTAAGTGGTGGTGCACATTCGGAGAGCAGGTGCTGACATGGTGGGCCAAATGGTCCCTGCCCGCAAACCTGTCAATTCTGTGATTTATCTTAAATCTGTGTTGCACGGTTGCCATCTCTGCTCGGAAATGCACAAATAATTCAGCACGATGCTGGCAGGTGTCTCAGACTATTGTGATTCACTGTTGGTTCGTCCTGTCCAGGTGAGGAAGACCAGGTAGCCCTCGCCATTGAGCTGAGTCGGCGAGAACAGCAGGGCCAACAGCGGCGCACCTTACAAACAGCACATGGCCAAGTGCCTGGCACCTCGCACCCATTCAGCTTCTATGAGGATGAGGACTCTGAGGAGGACGAGGATTTGCAGCTGGCCATGGCCTACAGCCTGTCGGAGATGGAGGCCCGAGGGCGTGGATCAGGTGGGCGCGGTGGGAGGGGTAAGAGGCACAGCCAGACACGGGGTGCACCCGCAGATGGGGGCAGGGGAGCCGGGCATGCGGTAGCCCACACGACTCGTGGGAGTCCCAGGCCAGCTGGCAGCGGAAGGCAGGCTGCAAGCACCAGTGGGCACCAGTCAGAGACGTTGAGTGTAGCCGAGGGGTCGCAGGAGTCCAGGCTGCAGCAGCCAAAGAAGACAAACAGAGATTGGAAATGTCTCCTGTCCTGAGTGCTGTTGGTGCTGAGTGCTGCTTGATGCCTAATCCATCTCGACCCTATCCCCATTCACTAACTCATCGTTATAGGAGGTAGTGGAGCAATGAGAAATACAAAGAGAAACTAAGGGCCTATATAAACGGGATTGTCAACTCATTGCTACTTTAACTTAGTTGGGTCTGATTGTTCTCAACAACAATCTGGATTTGCATCCTTTTAACACATCCCAAGTCACTTCACAGCAGTGTTACCAAACTAAACTTTGATGCTGAGTCCACACAGGACAGTATTTAGAGAAGAGAGTGGGGAGATGTGCAAAACACCACTTTAAATGGGCAAGTTGTAAGAGTTAAAGATGGCAAGGGGTGGGAAGTTTTACGGAGGGGATTCCCAGAGCAAAGGGACCAGGCAGCTGAGGTATGGACGTCAGGTAAAAATGGAGGGGAGTCATGACATGATGGCCAGTTGTAACAGCCAATGAGCTCAGGCAAAGGAGCAGTCAAATTGAATGGCAACACAGGCTTAAAGAACTGTGCATGCTGGAAGTCTGAAAGAAAAACAGAAAATGCTGGAGAAACTTGGTGGGTCTGACAGCATCTGTGGGGAGAGAAATAGAGTCAACGTTTCCAGTCCAATATCTTGGACTCTTCAGAACTGAAGGGTGGCTGGAAAATAATGGTGTTAATTGTCTTGTAAAGGGGGTGGGGGGACAGAGAGCTCCTCCTTTGTCAGCAGGATAAAAACCACCGCTTTCCAGACCTCCCTGCCTCCGTTCTGAAGAAGTCAAATGGAATTCAAGCATTAATTCCCTGCTCTCCCTCACCCTCTGCCCACACCACCCCGCCCCCGCCCCCCCCCCCCGGCTCTCCCTCGCTCTCTCTCGCTCTCTCTTTCTCTGAGTTTACCCATCACTCATCATTTTTATTATTGTATCTCTGTCTCTGATCATGCTGTGATGCTTAGTGGGGAGAGGTGGTGGAGGATGATATTTTTGTGCTGTGGGTTGTTTTGAGAAGTGTCCTGAACCAGTTGGTGGTGGTTTAACCTCCAATGTGGAAATTCCAAAGGGTTTGAGTTGAATGCCCGGATTGGCAATCTGCCCAAGAATATGAGGTTGTTCTCAGAGTAAGACTGGCCAAGATTGTAAATCACACCAAGTCCTATCCATCTCCCGAGGGGCGAGTTGGATTAAAATCAAATCTGATTCCCTTCTACCTGTTGTGGTCTTCAATTAATTGGGTTTCAATAGTCTGATCCTGATTTCCTGTTGAATAGACATCGTAGGATACATCTGCTCCAATTAGGCACAATATTCCGATAGATCACAGGAAGTCTGTGAGCAGACCAAGGAATTTCATGCTGCCACAGTAACGTTAGTTACTTGAGGCACGTTTTTTGGCCAGTGTAGTTATAGCTTTACTATGTATCTAGGGGAGGCGATGGCCTAATGGTATTATCACTGCACTGTTAATACAGTGACCTAGTTAATGTTCCAGGGACTTGGTGGAATTTGAATTCAATAAAAAATAGTCTGGAATGATGCCCTGGAACCATTGCTGACTGTCAGGGAAAAAAAAAATCTGGCTCATTAATATCCTTTAGGGAAGGAAGCTGCCATCCTTGCCTGGTCTGGCCTACATGTGACTCCAGACCCACAACAACGTTGTTGGTTCTTAATTGCCCAACCAACGATGCCCTCATCCCATGAATGAAAGAAAAGAAACACCATGCTGACCCTGTCCTGGGATTGTTTGATGGGGACAGTGTTGAGGGAG